TTTAGTCTGCAATTTTAGAAATAAATAAATAAAACTGTCTTTATACAGTAAAACTATCTTTAAAACCTTGCTTAAACCGTATAAATTCAATTTCAACAGAATTAGAAAATCACACGAAAGAGTAGATCTGACATTTTTAAACAATTATTTAACGACATCGGTAGTACATTGATTTTAACATCTAAATTATTAAAACAGAAAAGTTTCTTAAAACTCTAGCTTCTTTTACTGCAACGCGTAAAGACTGCTGTCAAAGAACTTTTTTACAATACAATTTGTTTCGAGAAATAAAAATGTAAGTCCGGTTAGTTAGAAAATCTTTTAACAAATCGTTAAATTTAACAAAGCGATCGCCATTTCCAATCAATACTTCGCAACGATTTGTACGTTTTTATTTTTCGCTGGTATAAAAATCTTGGGTTTCGTATACGAAAAATAAACGTACCGCTGCTTTGTGGTCGGCATCAGGTTTCCCAGATCTCAGTTTCCCAGATTTCCCCTTACTTGCAAAAACGTTTGACGAGGAAGAAAATAAGTGATAGCGGCAAGGAGATAGCTCTGGAGATTGAAATATGATGCAGTTTGCGCGGAATTATGGACATAGAACGACCGCAGCTTAATTAGGCCAAACTGTCGTGCGATTCCACCTCTGGGAATCATCGTATTTCGCCTTTAGGAATCGATCAATTAATCAACATCCAGAAATTCCTTCGTCGTCGTTCCAACCTCGTTAATTTAATGCTACTTTGTAATATGTACAACATTTTCGGGGTTTCACTTTCAAATTAGTCGCTGAGAAATATGAAGTACATACTTCCTTTAGGAATAATTCCGAAAAAACCGGACAAGGTTATTTTTCTACTTTTACACTGTGCTTGCTACTACCTCGCAGTCTAACTGAAATTTTTTCAATACCTGTCGGTGATGATAAAATGGCGGAACACAGTGATATTTTGTAAGATGGTCTGTAAAATAATTTTGTAAGAAGACAGGATAGTATTCCTCCTTTTTCATAAATAGTGTTTATTAGCTTGTAGTATAAAGTAGATTTTTTCTCAAGTCTTCCAGTCATAATAAAATATCGAAAGTTGTTAATATTCTAAGATATTTTTAGATAAAGTTTCACCCTAGAAATTATTTGTTAAATAATGAAGAACTTCTCCTATAGTATAATTGATTCTGAAGAAACAAGACAAGTTTGACATTTCTCATTTTACACAATAATTACTGGTACCTTGTAGTGTAATTATAATAATTGTATGATATCAGTGGCACGATATCGCACGATCCTCTGTGCGCAAATGATGGATACGATCTATTTTGTTGTTATTCGTAATTTGATATTCGTATCTGAAAGGTGAACTACTTGTATTTCCGACACATTTTTATATGACACCCAGTACATTTCTATCGATATTCTTATAGAGCATCAAAAGATGATTCAAACGAGTATAATGAGCATATACTTTCGATCACGTAAGCTCGAGATACTTGCGCCTTAAATATTAAGTAGTCAAGTTTCAGACGCAAGTATCTCAACATCAAATGATCGTAATAGTACGTTCATTATACTCATTAAACTCGTCATTTCACGTTCTACAAGAATATTGAAAGCAAACTACGAAATTCTTCGCAGTCCTATATTTGAGATTAAGAAGGTAAAACATGTGTCTGTAAATTTCGAAACGAAAGAAACTGAATAAATAAGTAACAACAAAAGAACGAAAATAATATTCGGTCATACCGATTTTTAAGGCATTTACGCTGATCTAGCAAGAAAAGTGTTTGGAACAAAAGTTGAATACCTTGAGAACAAAATTTCGAAAATTTTTGTATTCGATTAAAAGCTCATTCATCATCATTATTTTCTCAATTACTGCGTGTTTCTAAGCTAAAATTTATTCAAAGGTCATTGCGCAGCAGGTCATTGAATTCGTTTTTAGGTCAGTTAGGTCGCAGTAAAGTCAAAAATACATAGTTCTATTTTTAAAAAGTCAAGGTGACCTAAGCTTTTTATCAAATAAAAGAATTTTTCGACATTTTTATTATTGCTTTTTGTTCTCCTCAAAGTACTCGTTAACTTTTATTTGAAACATTTTTTTGCCAGATCAATGTAAATGCCTCAAAATTCGGTATGTGACCGTTACAATCAACAACCTGTATTTCCGAAGAACGAATCGCAACGTTTGCCGCCGTGTTTCGCGGATTCGGAAGCGGAATAGAACGATAGTTCGCGGTGTTGGCGGTGGCTTTCGTGAAAGGCTTTTTTCTTGAAAAGTACAGATCGTAAGTGCTTTTTTCAACGGTGCATTACTCCGCTCTGCGGACGGCCTACATTCTTTGCGGCGCGCAACACTCGAACCCTTAACACAAAGACAGATTTTCCACTCTCTCGCTCTTTCTATCTCTCCCCTCCTCCCCGTCACGGTCGAATTCGCGACGCATCCTCTCGCGCGTTTCATACGCGGACCACCTTTCCGCGTTTCCTTTTCATTTGCACACGCTCCAGCCTCCACTTTCGCGGGGGTGGAACGTGAAATCGTTTATGAAAGTAGCCGCTGGAAAATTGTCCAACCACTCCAATTTATATTTACAGCGAGCCAAGGGAGAACTCGCGTAGGGAGGCCGGGGGAGATTTAAACAAAAAAGATTTCCGCGATTGCTCCTTTCAATCAAGAAATTGAATAATGTATAAGGTAAACACACCGCGCTGAATTGTGACCCCTACTTGAAACAGTATCGCAAATATTGCGATAAAAAGTAGATGTAGCATATGAAAGTGGATGTAAAAATTTCACCCATTTTGAACATTGTTCTTTATAAATTCACTCGCACCAATACCGTTATGTAACAATCAGCTATTTAAAAAAATGTTCATTCAGATACGAATATTTATAAACATATTGGGAACGTATTGTGTACTTCAATTTTGTTCATTATCCCGATTTATGGAACATAAATAGAACATAACCTAACCCAACTATTATACAATGTTTGATAAATCGAGATATACAGGGTGGGGCATTTGAAACGAGACGCCTGAATAACTCGCTCGTTTTTGACAATAGGAAAAAAAGTGTCAGACAAAAATTGTATGATTTCGAGAAATACATAATATGATGTCAATAATTTTTTTTTATAGGTGGAGGCGTGGAGGACATATGATGGTCAAACTTGTTTTTTCTTTATTTATTGTACTGCATATGTTGTGACCTTGAATGATCTTGATTTATAGATCATTGTATTCGTCTATCAGAATATGAATTTTTTTAACACTCTGTATATTCATATCAAATAGTATTTCTTTTCAGTTATAATTTTTTAATACTGTGAGCTAATCGTGTAAAACGGATAAATAAAAACACGGAATCTTCTGCTTATAAATTCCTATAAAATTTCACAGCAGTATAATGATTTTTATGTCAATTAGCAAGATATCACATTTTTTTGGTGTTTGTCCCTAGTTGCTGGTAGATGCATCAGAAAAATCGTCCGATTGCAAACTAAAATTCTGTTAAAACAGTGCATAGTCTGCAATAAATTGCAAACCGAACAACTACTATAGTTACATTTAAACAATTTGTTCCGCCACTCCGCGCAAACAACCGGAAAAAAAGAACAGACTCGAAGCAAAGTCGATCACTCATTGTCAGTTTCTAACGCTTGCCGAATTATTGATCGAATTACAAAAGCTGTTGCCGGAACGTCTGCGGCATCCATCGCAACCTCCTGAAGTTGATCCACGGTGAAATCAATTATCGCGATCATAAATCAACGACGTGAAAACGTGGCTGGCGATAAAAATGATAGCTGTTCTAGGTTAATGCCCATTCCGAGACGCGCCCGGAGAAATGGCGCGAGTTCTTCGGAGGGAAGATCCCAGCGGGGGTTGTTACATAGATCCGGCTGAAAATCAGATTCCTTGATTTCTTCGCAGATTGACCGAAGCACATCGAAACGCCATAAGAGCGATCAGGAAGATCAAATACTTCGTCGCGAGGAGGAAGTTCCAGCAAGCTCGTAAACCGTACGATGTGCGCGATGTCATCGAGCAGTACAGCCAAGGTCACCTGAACATGATGGTGCGGATCAAAGTGAGTACATCTCCTGTATCCGAACAGATCTTATCTTCAGCACCATTTTTGCGACCGGTGTCATTTGGTTACTTATTCTCAGTTCACGATTATTAGACCACGGATTTTATGCAATTTATGACCAAATTGAGTATATATAATTCGCAATAGTAGAAAGTTTCAAGAAATTTTTAAATGTTAATTACAGTAAATTCTTCCTAATTGACGCTCAAATTGTGCACATAACCTTACAATTAAATTCCTTCCCCTGTTATGGGAGTTTCCATCAATTACGGTAAATTCTCCCTAATTGACGCTCAGCTTGGAAACAAAAATGAACAATTTGGGAAGGGGAGATGCGATTATTCGAGCCACGCGGCTCGTTTTTATAGTTACCGATTGTTAACAATTATAAAAACGAGACACAAGGCTCGAATAAACGTATCTCCTCTTTTTTGTGTAAAGTCTAAGCGTCAATTAGGGATAATTGACTGTACATATAACGATTCCATAATTTATATACAACGAAATTCATTTATTTAATAATAAGAAAGCTATGTATATATATACAATATATATAATATAATATACAAATATAAACATATATAATAACTATGTATAACTATATATATATATATATATATACATAGCTTTCTTATTATTAAATAAATGAATTTCGTTGTATATAAATTATGGAATCGTTATATGTACAGTCAATTATCCCTAATTGACGCTTAGATTTTACACAAAAAAGAGGAGATACGTTTATTCGAGCCTTGTGTCTCGTTTTTATAATTGTTAACAATCGGTAACTATAAAAACGAACCGCGAGGCTCGAATAATCGCATCTCCTCTACCCAAATTGTTCATTTTTGTTTATATATATATATATATATTTAGTGTATCACGAATGAAAAAATGTATTTGAAATAATTTTATAAAAAATCTTATTTTAAATTTTATAAAAAATATAACCTTAACATAATCTTGACAATCAGTGACTATAAAAACGAGCCGCAAAGCTCGAATAATTGTACCTCTTCTCAAGTTGTCCATTTTTGTGTACAATCTAAGCGTCAATTCGAAGAATTTACTGTAATTCTATTGCGGGTTCTTATTTAACACTTGGGCGACGCACAGTGAGTTGAGTTAATTACTTAACGATACCGTTTTAAAGGGATCCAGGAAATGCACTAATTGATGAAAAGTATTGCTTGTTAAACAAACAGTTTGTTATTAATGTTTATCATCGCAATTAATTGTCACTGATGAATTATTGATAGAAATATTATTTTACAACTCTGTTCAAAATTCCTGAAAAATGATAAGTAATACATGGTTATGTCAAGCTTACGTCACAGTATCATTTCTTATGAAATGTTAAGAACTCCTATATACTTTTCAATTTATTAAAATGGTTAAGGAAAGGACGAGCTTGCTTTTTAGCTACTATTTTTTTGCAATCGATGCAGTCAATTTTCAAAATGTCTGACGATGATTCGCCCTATAATATCATGTCACTCTTATTGCGAACATTTCGAACATAAAATCCGTGAAATGTGGATGTTATTCAGGTCGTTTAAATATTGGGATTTTATGAAATTTTTGCAGTTTAACTATTAAACTGAACTCAGCATTCAAAGTGACCTAATCTTTTAATACATACTTCGACTATCACACTGTGCACATACATGTGACTAGTAAAATTTACGCTAATCTATTATTTTAACGTTAATTTAATTTTTTCGCTGGTCTATTATAATTCCGTAATTTTATCCAGATCGACGAATTACAAGAATGTTATACAACTTAAATTTTTCCATTTTGATTCGATGAAGTAAAATACTATAATATTTTGTGAAATTTTTTATGTTGCCATGGCAGTCAAAATATTAAAAAGTTGACCGTTATTCACAGTTACGCCGATAACGTATTTTCATATTTTATGTAATTTATAGTTTATTTCAATGTACTTGCTGAATCTTCGAATTAGGATGTTGAATTGTACAACAAAAATTTCGATAATTTCAATATTATTTGTAACATTCTATAATATAAGTCTTTGATGAATTAAACGAACGCTTTTAGCTATTTAATTATGAAAAGAGCTGTACACTCAAATGTACAGACTGTAACGCAAGTTTTTATTTATAGTCGTACGTAATACAAAACATTGTATACTATGTTACTTTTTAAAAAATCTGACAACTTAACTTTTTAAACATTCGACTAAATGGCTTGAATCTCGTATATTTTTTATCGAATATCGTTCACATTGAAGGGGTAAAACAGCCCTACTAGTTGAAAGTGAGAAACACGTTTATTGCGATATCTTGAGAGTTTTTGTATGAGAAAAACTGACCGGGACCTAAAAAACGCATTCTTCAAATTTTCGTTCTACGTTCAGATAAAAAACTTAAAAAACGTGAGTTCTTTATCTTTCATTGTCACTCCAAGTAATTAGTATTTTAGAAAAAAAAATTGTTAGACCCTATTTTGTAAACTAGTCTCTCTATCATCTCAGAAAAGTTCAAGTGATATGGTACAATTCGAAAATAATTATTCCGTTTTAAAAGGTGTCCGAAAATTGTAATGAGTTACTATTTCGTAAACTAGAAATAATTGTAACAATCCATTATTTCAACTCTGAAATATACCATAATATGTTAATATATTAATATATACCATAATATATTACCTTACAACTTTCATTAAGCAATCTTATACTAACTTAGAACTATTTTTGTACTACACGTGATTTCGAGTCACTCAAACTTACATTACTGTACCCTCATCACTAGACTGCGGATTTTATGCACTTATGGCAAAAATGGATGGATGAAACTGAGAACAATGAATAGATTAAACGGAATTAAGCACGATCTTCTATTAATTTCAATTGGTTAAAATCATTAAAAAAAAAGATAAAGGAAACTGTACTTGGCTCATTTCACCCGCAATCGATACAAACAATTTTTATTTTGCATACAGATTCGCAGTCTGCTCGTCACTATCGTTCTATGCATCGATCCGTTCGCACTCTGTCACTTAAGCCAGATATACATATGTACTTCCTTACGGATATCGATAGATGTCTACACCTTGACCTAACCTCAAACTGTAAATGTTCACACCATTTAACACCTTCACGCTTGAGTGCCTTTTCTGAGGCGTCTGGAAATTGCTATATCACGTTTCAAAATAATTTCGGCAGTGTAAAACATCGTTATAGTTTAAAAAACGGTTAAAAATGAAATACTGTACATGCCAATAAGTTCAATTCCATCATTTCCGCCATAAAATACATCTCGCAACAAAATTCTACGCCACCACAATTGCTAAAAATTCTATTTGAGAATTGTTCACAATATTATACAGATATAATAAACAAAGAAAAAAATACATATAAAAGTTGTAATAAATCGGAAACAGACAGCGCAATTTTGCTTATTCAATTTTGCAACTGAATTACATTGTATTTCAATTATATAGTAATTCAATTACATGGTAATTCAATTACGTTGTGATTTAATTATGTAAAAAAACATTTCAGTTAATTCAATTGTTAATTATCTTAATCACGAGTGTAATTCAAATACATAAAATGCAATTGAGATGCAATTGTAATTGGATACAATTCTGTAATTGAATTGTAATTGAAACATAATTCTTCAAATTACGGAACTTTGAAGAAGTGAGATACATTTTTATATTTCTCTTTCGTATACTCATCTTTTGTTTCTTCTACCTATTATCTATTAATTTATTATTTTTTCATTCGCAGTTTTAGTTCAATAATATCATAATTTATCATTTTAATTGAATAATTCGTAATTTTAATATAAACAAATTACTTAGTATTTTTAATTGTATTCCAGTCGCAATTACTTAAGTTGTATCGTGATTTAATTGAATGGAGATCTGAATTACAAATTAATTTATAATGTAATTGAATTACGTTGTAATTGTAATTCATCGAGTAACTCAATCGTAATTCTCCACAACTCTGTCAGAAAGCCTGTTTTGAATTTCGAATTCAAACAGCTTAGAGTGCAAATCATTAAATGATTCATCGTTCTTTTATTTGAAATTAAATCAACGCAACCCTGGATAGAAGACAATTACTTTTCCCTGTTTGCGTATCTTGGCGTTCGTAGGGTTAGTAACGTAGCTTTATGGTTACAGCCTATGAGTTGCCATCGAAGACTGTGCAGTCCTTTCGCATCCGCACAGGGCAATTACAATTTCACGGCGCCGCAACGCGGCACTTTCACTCGCGGCAAATGGTAATGAGGTCCGCGGGATTTAGCGGTTACCGTCCGATTTATCGACTACGCCCCGTGACGCAATCGTCAGAAACTAGAGTACATCCCCGCGCTGCGCGTCCCCGAAATCACGATGCAATCTGTTAAAATTTGCAATTTTGAAACATTTCTTTGAGAGAATTTAAGACTTTAAGAATTTATTAAACACCAGTATTTTAAGTATAAAATACTGAAAAAAATGTCCAAAATGGAGCTAATTTTTAGCTTTATTTTCGCTTTCATGTCATCGAAAGATTAAATTTTACTTTACCGGTCCAGAGATTTTTGGTACTTTTATGTATATTCCCATAGATTTTGTCGAGAAAACTCCAAAAATTCAAGTCCCAAGGTGCGCAAACTGTTGGTTCAAAAGTTACGTGCGTTTAAAGTTGACGCAAACTAATCCTAACCTAACTTAAAGTAGAGATTAGTTCAATATAATGTGGAGCATTCGAATTATAATATTAAAATGGCTACTCGTTCATGCTTTTGCTGTTATCTAGCGACTGTTATGAGAAATTTATTTGAGACATTTTTCGCGTTTTCTCGAAAAAATCTACAGGGATATACAGGGTAGTCCACCTAAATAAGGCCATCTAAATATTTCCTCTAATTGTGGAGATACAAAAAATATTTTGTACGATATTTGAACGATTTGAAGAAACCATCGAATTGCAAAAATATTTTTTTTCCAAGGCAATTTTTTCGGAGTTTACA